AGAACAGCCTCAGATAGAAACAGTTCATTCTTTGATGACACCCTATTGGCATGATTCTGGGGCTTAAGACACATTACACGTTCCTAAAAATGTTTAAGCTCCCAACATCTTCTAGGAGTAATTCTTCAAGTATGAGTAAGATCTTTATTTAAATGGAAATATTCAATCACACCTGATGGGAATTTCATTAGTATTATGTGGCATTCTTGGTATTTTTTTTTCCTGGCATAATTGTTGTTTGTTTTATCCTACTTACAAAAGTTCCCCCTTTTATTCAAATCACTTAAAAATGCAAATTGTGCATTATGGCTCGATGATCTTCTCACCAGATTTCTGGAACAACCACCTAACAGTCTGAGAGTACAAATTAAACTCAATTTTAGGAAGTATGGGGACTTACTGAGCTCACCTGGGCACCAACACTATGCTTAGCTTTTCAGGAGGCATAGAGGAGAAGCCTGGCCTCTCTGGTAATCTGAGAAAGGCAAATGGACCAGGTGTATCTGGGAAAAATTCACCCAAACAAAACCAAGGCCCTCAGCCACTCCCGCCAGAGTCGGATAGCAAGTGACAGAGGACGTAGGCAGCAGAAGTGGGATTCCGGGATCAGTGAGGCTGAGGAAGAGGATGGTGCACAACCAACCCCATGCCCTCTCCTGCCCTAGACCCGGGCATTTCTTTGTGGGGTGGGGGAAAGAGCAGCGCTGTCTCTTCCTTCAGTCTCTCTACCGTTACTGACTCAGAGGCAGCTCACGGTGTTGAGAAGCTCCGACGGCTTCTTGACAGCCCTCACTGAGGGAGGAACAGTAGAGGCCTCCAGATTTTTATTCAAGAGAGAACAAAGCGAAAAGGTACAGACTGCTCCCTCCTCTCCTCCTCCTCCTCCTCTCTTCTTCCTTCGCTCTGTTTTTAGAGGAGTTTCTAAGATGTTCAAAACTTAGCATTCTAGAGCTTCTGGAGGGCCCTTAGGGGCATCCTGTCTAACCACCTCATGCAACAGAGGAGGAAACCGAGGCCCAAAGGGGGTCTATGGTTGCCCTTGATAGGGGGCAAACCCCAGGGTTCATGGGCAGGAGGCTTGGTTCCCAGTGTGGAGATGTGGGAGGTGGTAGGACTTAAATGGAGAGGCCTACTGAGAGGTAAACAGGTCGTTGGGGGGTGCTGTACTTGGAAGGGATTAATGTAGTTCTTGTGGCACCCCAGTTAGCTCCTCAGTTAGCCTCCCAACTACTAAAGAGCAACAACTAGTCCTCTGGGTTCCTGTCTCACCACCCAATTTCTTCCACATGCATCACTGTAATGTCATATGAGGACCTTGCCAAGCCAAACAGATAAACCCGTGAACTAAATAAACTCCTTTTCTTTATAAAGTGACCAGTCTCAGGCATTTTGTTATAACAAAAGAAAATGGACTAAGACAGAAGGTAAATGGTCAGAAAGCATGTAGCTAACTCGTGGTTGAACAGAACTAGAACTTACCTGTTTTTCATATTTTTTACTCTTCTATTTATAGTTATACATAATCATGGGATTAGTTGTTACATCTTTATATATGAACACATTCAATAAATAATATAATCTAGCCCACATCATCCCCCAGTACCTCCCCTTTCCCTGTCTTCCTCCCTCCCCTGGTCCCTTTCCTCTGTTCTACTGGTCTTCCTTCTATTTTCATGAGGCACGAAGACTTATAACAAGTCACCACACCACTCTTCTGTACCTCTCCCTTAGAGAGGACCTTTCTTTTGTTCCTATCAAGACAAGCA